AGGTGCGGAGAAGGGATGAAGGCTGCTGATCAGCCGCTCGACAGAGAGCATTTTGCACAAAACAAAAAGAAAAAGAAAAGAAAAAAAGATCGGCCAGGTTCTCARATAMGAAAGATCCACYGGGTTCGAAGAACAGAGAGCATTATGCTCGAAACAAAGTCCACCAGAAGAAGGCTGCTGACCAGCCGCTCGACCAGACAACCTCTCGCACGACTCSAGTTGAAATGATTATGCATGAAAAATCCGYCGGGTTCGAAGAACAGATGAGGGCTRCAGGTCAGCCGCTAAACAGAAGGCATTACGTACGAAACCAAGCCCACCGGGCGAAAGCCGCTCAACCCGAGAGCGTCTCGCAAGGAAGGGAGATCTGCCAGAAACGCAGGCTGCTGATCAGCCCRAACCTCGTAATGAAGATGCTAAATCTCGACTGAAGCGAAGGAGGCGAAGTGGCGTGGCCTCGCCGGCCTTCGTATCGTAGCTAGCCCTTCTCCGCTCCTCCTTCTCTCTCTTTCTCTCTCTCTCTCTCTCTCTCTCTCTCTCTCTCTCTCTCTCTCTCTCTCTCGCTCGTACTCTCCAGGTCCCTCCGACGTCCCTTGTATGGTGGCCGCACCTCCGCCTTCCCCTCGCGCACCCCCGAGGTGAAACTCGTGATGGAGTACGCCCTRYGGCTACTAGTGCGGASGCTCGTAMGCGCTTACGGGCGCAGTTCCCGTGTGCGACTCACACCCTCTCCTTCGTCCCSRTCTCCTCCCTCGCCCTCGCGAGCTCGCCGGAGCTTGATCCTAGCCAGCGTGCGGAGGCGGGCTATCCACACTGTGCGGAAGCTACTTCGAAACCAAGGCGCGGGCGTGCGTTCAGARTCCGCTCACCCGCAAGCCGCTCCCGAGTGCGCCAAGTCGCCTCGGACGCAAAAAAACGATCCCCTCYGCGTGTGCGAAYGCCCACCTCGTGCGCTCCAATTCTCCGCTSGCGAGTCCGGYCCTGGAGGTTCGTACTTCACGAAGTCGTTCRCCCGMCCCGTGCRCGTCCTCTCTTTTTGCTCTCGCCTCCTTTTATACCTTCTCCCTCTCCCTTCTCTTGTGCTCCCGAAAAGAGAGTTCTTCCCCAGGGCGCCAAACTGGAAATTTTCGATCTCGATCCCGATTTCCCGCTMATGTTTTTGTGATCTTGTTTCTCTCTCTTCCTCCTCTCTCCCAGCACACTTCCCTCTCAGACAGGGAMTCTCCTAAAAGCAATTTTTAACCCTCTTTCCAATATCTCTTCTTTGGTTTCCCGCTCTTTTCATTCTCGTCTCTCGTTCACCTTCGATTTTTCTTTGTGATCCCCCCGCACCCCTTTCCCACCAATGGCTGTCTCTCCCTGTCTYCGCAGGGACCTTCACTTCCTCCCTCGCCGAGTACAGTTATCAAGAAACTTGAGGCGTGCGCKYCCCAGGGAAGTCTTCTTGCGAATGCTCGCCCTTCYTGCATCGCCCAACACCCRCCATCGGCCGCTCCGCCGCTTCGTATCCCCGCTAGCTTTGGCTCCTCACCTGGCCCCTTTTCTGTGCCAAGCACGCAACCCCCTCCCTTTTGTCTCTTCTGCGGTGAATTCTTTCTTTCTCCTGCTCTCCGATGCCGTCTCGGCAAATGGTGTAGCGGCCTTGATTACCCCCCCTTCTGCCTTCTGCGCCTATCCCTCCGACCACTCCTCCATCCTCTCTACTTCCTCCCCGATCCCTTGCTACCCGCCAATCCCATCTCCTCTCGGCACCCACCTCGGATCATCCTTCGTTCGGCGACAGTTGAAATTCTTCCTCCCTTCACTTATTCCAATACTGTGCTTTTTTTTTTTTTTTTTTTTTTTTTTTTTTTTTTCCGATTCGCATGTCTGTTCGTCCACATCCCATGCAGACCGATCCTTTGAGGTTCTCTGCTCCCCCTTTTCGTCCCGGCTAGCCCCCTGCTCCCTTCGTCACCGGGCTAGGTTGCTTCTCTGAGCCCAACAAAGTCTACCCCCGACGGTCGAAGCCACCAACCCGTTTAGACGCTTTTCCTCCGACTTTTCTGTTTCGCCCCCCTCCCCTTTTTTGAACTCTCTCTCGCTCGCRCCCGAAATCCGAGGACCCTACCTTTGCTCATGCTTTTTGCTCCTGCAACCAACTCAAGTCCTTAYCGRAATGAAGTAAAAAAAAMMCCGATTTTGCYGSCCGACCCACTGTGTAGTCGACATGTCCTGGTCCGTCGTATCTCRGCAGGCCTCTCCCACGACTTAAGTTTGTTAAGGGAACCCACGACGCTCCCTTGAAAACGGATCACCCCCATCTGCAGGCTCAGGCCTGCTTTCRCGCTGCTGCCACATCACTCGCTCGACAAAGGACTCGSCGGCCTACCCGTCTCCCGGCACCGTAGTGCAGGCAGCTCCCGCCACTCATACCCACGGTAGGCCRGCGGCCATTCGCAACCGAAATTTCGAGCTTATTAYTGCRCCCCGCTTCGGTCCGGCCAAGGCCCTTCCTKACGCACATYGTCTGCCCCGCATTTCCAGATTGTGACACCGAAAACTCCAATCTTTCGTGATCCACCTGAGCCCGCTTGGGATCAAGTTGTCACCGCCACTTCAGGCCATCGAAGGGTTAGTGAGGAGGCCCGGAAGCCCAAAAACATCATACCCACATGCATACATACGTCAAAACCAGGCAAAAA